TTTCACATTCCTGAGTCAGCTAGTAGCCTCGTATGAACAAAAACGAACAAAGGACTAATTAATATTCGGATTCCATGAAAAAAAAATTATATACATGCTATGCGCTGAGTAACGATAATATTCTCTGTGACCAAAGAATTGGTTTTTATTTTATATTATTTTGAATGGAAACTATGAAAAATCATGTACGAATTCTTTGGTAGCATATAGTAGCTGGCAATCAAGTGTATAATTTTTACTGCTTATTGTTACATTGAATTGTTGTAGATTAAGATACGTGAAATTAGCCAATAATTAGTTTCCAAAATTACTGGGACAATCATATTGTTGACAACTGACCAATGTAAACCAGGATCTTATTATAGTTTTAGAATTATAAAATTCAGTTCACAAATTATTCGCAGTATCTGTACGAAACTTATATGAGTTAATATCGAAATTAGGTGGGATATAAGCAGCAAGGCTGGTCAATTGAACAATATTTTTTTTCCCCATTAAATCAAGTTAAGTTAAGTTAGCAAAAACAATTAAATTAAAATTAACTTCAACTAAAAAGTTAATTTAAAAAAAAATGTATTTACGAATTAAAATAAGTGATAATGACTTTGACAGTCATATATCTATGAATGCATGTATAATTATTATGCATGAAATTAAAAACGTGTAAGGTTGCATAATTTTAGAATTCCATTCATATTTTAAACTGTGTTCATTTAAATTTAAATTTGAGTATAAATGTGTTTGCTGCATTATTTAACATTTATAATTTAAAAAATGAATTACTGTATTAATTCTACTTATGAGTTCTGAATATTTTATACACTTATTATATGAGTGTATTTAGGTAGCCCAAGTATACGTAGCCGCACGAAATCTAACAGAATACATGGGCTGGAGTGAATCTGTGAGAAATTAATGTCACTAATGGTTTCACGTGAAACAAACTACAATGCACTCAGCGGATCGCGCAGGACACCCGGGTCTGCAACCAGCCACACACAACGTCGGTGCCGTGTTCTGTTCCTGACTTGGATGGCGCCTGACCGGCGGGCACCTCCCATTCAGTCACAGAACACGGCACCGGCCGCTCCCGCTTCAGTGATAATTCAAGGACGCCGTGGGCGTTCCTTGGAGAGTAGCGCACAGTGGTGTAAAACCCATTTTTAAGTGGCCAAAAGCACTATTCTTAAAAATTTAAAAAATTCTATATTCAAGTGTTTATTTATTTATTTATTTATAGTATTTTGATGGCAAATTTAAAATACTATAAATAAATAAATAAATAAACTCTTGAATATAGAATTTTTAAAATTTTTAAGAATAGGCATAATCATTTGATTATTGAATGTTATAAAACTGTTTGATTAGAAATAAAATGATTTTTATCGATTATTTTCAACTTTTACTCTATAAATATTAATTAATTTTTTTCACTCTCAATGATTTATTTCAATTAAATTAATAAACAATTTCAATGCGGTTTAATTTATATAAATTCGATCTAACATACCTACATAGTAGTAATAAATAAAAGGCAGTGTACTTATGACTAATCTGACCATTAATGTAATGAAATAATATTGAATTTTATAATTAACATACCCTACATTCATTGTATATTGATAATATATTTATGTAGCTATATAATAATTATATAGCTACTTACATGAATACATATTAAATAAATAAGCTTTAAATATCATAATACAAATAATCCATGGTGTATTTGATAAAAATATTAAACAAATGAATTATGCAACTATGTAATACAATAAAGTTGTAATAAAACTGAAAAAATACCAAGGCTAATAATTAGCCTCTTACTAATGTACAAAATTTAAATGTCAAAAAATGGTTAAGGAATCTTAATGACCAACAAACATTGAACACGGAAGATAAATAAAGATAAATAAGGAACTATTGCCCTATAGGTTATTATAGTGACTTATGACGCCAGTATATTATTATATTGGCGTGGTAATTTGTATACAATTTTAAATTGTATAAAATGGATCTATGATCCATTTCCCCCCACCTCCTTAAATACGCCACTACCATATCGAATGGATGACAACTGAAAATAAATAAGTCAAAATGTACAAACATTTAAATAGTTGTTAAGGTTGTCATGCTTACTTATTTAAACCAGAAATAAATAATAATTTTGGATGGGTTTCTATTGTGTGCTATTAGTTTTGATGTTAGAGTGAATTGACTTACTATAAAGTTTTTAAAAAAGTGTAGTAACTTTAACTTTGAACTTAAAAAAAATTAGTATATATATAAAATATTATATTTTGACCAATGATTCATGTAAAATGATAAATCTACAATTATTAAATCATTTTTTGAACCCTTTTACAATTTGAAATCAACTTTTAAAAGTTAAAAATTGAAAATAATGGTTAAATGTATTTATTAAATATTGAAAAACAAATGTTGTACTTGTATGTTTTGACACTGAATATAACCACTAATGTTTATTCACTGAACATTTAATAAATAACTTTCACTGATTTTTAATAAATATTGAAAAGAAAATTCATTTAAGGTTTTTTTTAAATTAAAATACATCAATAATATTAATATATTATTATATACTTACTTAAGTTTAATAGTATATAAATAAATAAATATATGCATTTTGACAAGACGATAAAGAGATATATTAAAGGAAGAAAGCCCGGTTGCACAAAAAACATTTTATTGGTGCTATAACTTATTGGTTCAATTATTTAAGATACGAGTGTGAAGTTAGCAATTGACCCAGCCATTGATAAGGACTATTCGTCGGTTTTCGTCGTTTTCCGGTGCCTTCCGGGAGGTGAGAATACAAGTGTCGTACATTGGCGAAAAGCTGAGAAAATTCCCTATTAAACAATAATTGTGGTCCACTAATTTCCGCGATTTTTTATGTTATAATGCGATTATAGTTATAATACCTTATAAAATTATTTCGTATAATACAGCGCCATCTATGTGGCTGTAATATTGATGGGAGTTTTGAACTATGTTTGGGGCAAGGTTTAGTTTTGTATAGGCAACCCATTGTACACATTCTTATCAATGGTTGGGTCAATTGCTAACTTCCCACTCCTTTTAAGATTATGGTTCATTATTATTGATAATAAATAATATGTTGATAACAGAAGACATTTGATAATTAATAATAATAATTACTTAGTTATTTGTATTTTTCGTGTACACAAACGGTGTGGTTTGGTGTAGGTTAAAATAAAAATTTTACTGTAACATTTAGTTAGTATTTAAATTATAATCATGTCCATGTCCATGTATGAATCTCTAAAACGTAAACGTGGAAAAAATTTTAATGAAAATGAAAAGTCATCACTACTTGATATTGTAACAACATATAGGAATGTTATTGTGTGTGTAAGGGTATGTATTATATTTTATTCTAGACTGTTGTGATTTGTGTGTAAAATAGTATCCAATCTTCAGGATTCAGAAATATTGATCAATTAACAGCTCTTTATGACATACTAAAAAGGAATGCAAAAAAAGAAGAGAGTAACGATAAAGTAGTTATATCTTCTGAAGTTTAAACATTTTTGTAATTAATTGAGTATCCATTATGCTTATAACGTGTTATAAAACAGGCGGTGGTAAATAAAATGCAACAATCAGTGCCTTGAGTGAAAAAGTAATTGGGATTCTTGGTGATCAAATTGAGCCTCTCAATAATGAATTTGATTCCGATGCAGATTTTGTTAAAAACCGCTAGTAAAATTGTTAATATTAAATAATAAATGCGATTACTGATAACAGTGATAACTAATATAGTGTAATAATAATAATTTGTTAAACTCGTAGTTCAATGTGGAGAAATTCCTATTTCATCTGAGTCGATAAGCATAATTGAGGTATCATGTGAAAATTATTTGGATTCAACTATTGAGGTCACACAAAATCAAGAGCAAAATGATACAGAAAACATTTATATTGACGATTACGAGTTTAACATGCGTCCAAATAAAGAATGTAAGTTTGTACTATACTGTTATTAGTAGTTATGTAAAATAAAGTTGAGTAATTATAAAAATCAAAGGATATCTCCCTTTTATAACTTTTTACTAAATATTCAAATATCTACCAAAGTATTTTAAATACTTAAACATATATGTATTGTTCTAAACTTAGAATATGTATACAATATAACATGTATAACTTTTACGTTTGACTTATCTTCAATAGGAGAAACTTAAGTAACACGGAATATTCAACGTAAATAAATTGATGATGATAATTATGATGATTGTGAATTCTTATCTTCAAAAATTAACACTAAAAACATTTTAAAACAATAATACAAGACAAAATGATAAGCCCACTCGAATTTATTGAAACAGGTAAAACAATAAAATAAAATTACAGCATTTTTTTTTTGAGTTATACAACATAAATAATTATCTCAGGTATAATGTAGTTAAGTTAGTTTGTAGTATAGTATAGTATAGTATAGTTGAAGATACAAATTAGATTTTGTTATAATTGTTTATGTTGTAAAATATTCAACGATTCTTATATTTTGTTAACAGGCAAAAGAAAGTCACTATTAAAATCTTTTCAAACAAACAAAGCAAATATAAATATTTCTGAAGATAACAAAATAAACAACAATATTCACCTACTAAAATGTTTTTACCTCTTAAAGGGTACTAAATTGTATCTGATAATACTAAAAAACAACAATTATAATACCTACCTAAATCTATAAAGTACCTATACTTTATTTTAATAGGATCATCTATTTCAAAAAAGGGTATCTACAACTGCGTCCATGATCTTACCATTTGGAAAATGGGACGTTGCAGACAATATTGATTTACAGAATTATTTGGACCTATCAATATATTATTATTATTAATAGTATATTAAAAATACATATTATAATATTAAATGCATACCTTTTTTTTTCTTTTCATGAATTGAATTAATTTAATTTTTATTGCAATTCAGCTATTGTAAGTATTATAATATACACCGTAGTTATTGTAGTATGTTGTATTCATTTAATATAACATAAAAATTAATGCACCTATATACATATAATATGTTCACTTTTTTCTAGATGGCATTTTTAGCTTGACTAAGAAGTACAACAGTTTCGGAAATGACCCCTCAAATTATGGCAAAATTATTTCACAACAATTTGCTGTGCAAATTCTCATATAGCAGTAAAAAAAAAAAATGATTTTTTCTACTACTAATTCATGTTCCCCTTATATTTGGTAATTATCATTTTTTAACTAATTATGTTTTAAGTATAAATTATTTAGAAATTAACATATGGAAATTTCATATTATAGCAAGTTAAAAGATAATATTGTGTTCCATTAGACAATTTTATTACAATACAATATATTAGTGATGTGCTTATAGGTTATTAAAGTTCTAGTAATTTTTATTAAAAATAATTCTAAATCAAATTGTTTCTTATATTTTATTTGAAATTTAAGAATGTTTGTATAACTGCCGAACTGCTATTATACTTCCTACACTCCTTATATTATTTCTTAATAATTTTATGAACTTAACTATACATGTATATTGAATTGTACTGTATTGTATACTTTTGTACTATATACAATTATAAGTATTTACGTTTTACACATGTGTTTCAGAAGCCATATGAGATGTTAAAATTCATAAAAATTGTATTGATCCAGAGATATTAAAACCAGTGAACATTTGTACGGCCAATGCCAAGTTTTGAGAAGAAGAAAAAACAAAACAAAAATATTAATTTAATTCCTTAATTTTTATCTTAAAATTCATTAATGTAATTATTTATTTCATCTACACAGTTATACCTAAACAGTAGTTATTTTAATTTTTTTTTTTGTGATACACAAATCAGGATAGTATTGTGTCTATTATTTATATTCTATAACTAAATTATATTAGTATTTCTATTACTTTATACTATAATATAATATTATATTATTATGCATAAACATTAAAATATATATATTTAGTAAACTAACCCAACTGGATATTTTGCTTTGAATGCTATTTTTTGTTCAGTCTTCGTGGAAATCTATTGTTATTACTGCCTATTAGCTATTATGTATTCACTATATAAATGGATTGGTATCTGAAACAGTGATTCAGTACATTTCTACCGCAACATAATCTGATCTCATTAATTATAATTTTTTGGTCTAGCGTATCCCCATTACCAAAATATTATATTTTGAATTATGCAATGTTATTTAAATTGTAAGTAAGATCATATAAATATTTCTTTTTTGGGTTTATGTGTATTATATTTTTTTAAGAACTTTTTATTTGCATACACTAATAAAAATTATAATTTCCTATTACTTTGGCATATTAAATATTTAATAGGAAAACAAAGTTATGTCAACCATCAATACAATTATTAAATATTATGAATATATGTTGTGTAAGGTTTTTTTTTTATTGCTGGAAACAGAGTTATGAGTCTATGATTAAATATTGGTAAATAATATACTAAGAATTATATGAACATTTTAGGAATCTATTCAAACATTTTTTTTCAAAACAGATGGACAAATAATGTATATAGTATGTATTCTAACCAAATGTGTTTTTAAAATTTAAGTTAAAATATAGCACTGGTCTAGTTTGACTTAATTACATGGACATTAACCTTAAGGGAAGGCACTCATAACGTTAATACTTGTCTACTATAAATTTGCTTACCTGGATTTACAAAAAAAATACATACACAGTTGCCAAATGTTTATGTAAAAAGACTTCTGTAAATAAAGTCAATATTAATAAATCTATATTTTATAATATTGAAAAACGACTCATACGCCAATTACATCAGACTCGAAAAAGACTTAACTTATGATTGGACTTGGGAACTTAATATTAAATTATTATTGTGCCAAATTTCATTATATTATATTAAGACATATAAACTACAACAATTGTATACTAATAAGTATTATTCTCCATAAAAAATAACATATCTAACAAAATATTAGAAAACATCACTGTTTTTTATTTGGTAAAGCATAATTTTTATTAAAATGTACACAATGACAAAACGGATGCACTAGGTTGTAGGGTAGCTGAGCAGCCTGTACTGATCAATTTAAATCATGAATATTCGATGATTCCTTTACAATTGATCAAAATTGATTTTTAAAATTGGTAATTCATGATCCAATTTGTCTATCTGAATTAAAAGTGATGCACATTCCTTGCACATATAATCGGAATTATTTGCAATTACAACAAAGTCTTCCCCCATAAGTTCACAAATCTTGATTTTAAATGGAGAATTACTGTATGGTGTAATGCTTGAACATACACGTGTTCGTTCCTCAATCAATTTTTCATCACAAACAAAACAAACTGCTATTGTATCCGAAAAACATTTCTTACTAAAAATTAAGAATATAATTTGGGAACCTATTACTTTAATTTGAGTAAGAAAAATCAAATTTTTCCTAGTATATAATTTTAAGTATGAAATTAAGTAATCAATCATGTCAATTGAAAATATGGCTATCCGTTCCACATTATTTTTGTTTATTTACACAATATTTATAATATCTACACGTACATTAATAATAGGTAAAATATAACCTAATTTATACTGCTCAATATTAAGCATATTATGACACAGTCAATAAATTATATACCTAGGTATCTTTATTTATTATATTTAGTAATTGACACAGTAACCGAAGCATCATTTGAATTTTTATTTGTGGTTAATTAGTGTAACTTCTTCTTAAAAATAGAATATTTGGTACAGATTTTCAACTAAAGGAAAATTCATTTTCATTTATTTTTATAGAAAAAAATTAAGCTTTCTTTGTAGTAATAATAATGAACAAATATCAAACAAATATTGTATCTGTATGCAAAGTATCATAGTACATTTCACAATATATGCAACATGATTATAGTGCTCTCTGTTTGCTTGCTTACAAATTTTGTACCAGTAACCCAAGTGTTTTACTGTCCACATAATTAATTTTTTTTTATACAAAAGTTTCACAGAAAGAACATTAAGAGTTTTAAAGTTTAGATTGGTAGAGTCCTCTATTTCTTGTTTTTAAAATAGATATGAATAATTTATATTTAATGTAACTGCAGGAGCCTTAGTGCATGTTCGCTTAAACCACCCAACGCCAATGAACTATACTGAAAAATATTATGGTATAGAGCTAGATAAATGGTTCTCATAGTATTTGTTGGCATAAAGTATTTTAATTTATGAAAACTATAGTTAAAAGTGTTTGAATTCGTAACTAGATTCCTTATATCAAGACTCCATCGCATATTACAATCAAAGATTAAACTTAGGTATCGAGTACTAGGTACCTTGTATAAAATTTCACATTTGTTACATTGGCTTAGATCAAAACAAAAGTGAATATGATATTCATCAAAACTATTTTTAAAATAGTTGTTGGAAAAATTCATAAAATTTGTTTTTATAATTTAGTGTCAGTTTTCTATGATTAAGATGATTAATTACTTTTTTGAAACCAATAGATGCTTTTATGCAAACATCACATCAGAAGTCAGGTGAAAAAAGTAGACAAGTGTCATCAGTATATGTAACAATTCAACCATTGACGTTGAGATTAGGTACGTATTTTATTTATATATAACTATATAAGATAAAGTTGGACCGAGAACACTTTTAGGAGAAAAATGAGAAAACATCACTCTTTTTGATTTGGTAAACCATACATTTTATTAAAATATAAGAAATGACGAAACGGATGCACTAGGTTGTAGTGAGGAGATGAGTAAATGTAAATTGGGACCAAGTCCGTTCTACCTATCCGAGCAATAGTGAAATGTGGAAAGACCGGGTAGACTATTAACACCGAAATCTTCTGTTGGTATAAACTATACTAATAATTGAAGTCACGAAGATACAAAGCCCACGAGATTCAGTTGCGAAAACATGCAACAGGTAGAACTGACAGACTACAAATATATTTGTATTTCACCGATAAGCAAGAAAAATGTACCCTACAAAGATGATACCTTTTCTCGAACCCAAACTAAGACAATGGATAGGAATGACATGTAATGTACTGGTGTCTCGAAATTTGTTTGATTTCCTGATGAGTGTTAAATTTTGAAGTGGTCATTCGACGAGTTGTTTAAGACAAAAATTAATTAGAATAAAATAAATAGTACTGTGGTAAATTTTGTTTTCCGACATAACTATACAACATTTCAAGTATTATTTGTTTATCGTATTGCATTGGTTATTTAACAGTAGACAACGTTTATTTTTATTTTTATAATTTCCTGCCTGGTAGAAAATAATATTAATAACCGATAGTACATAAAGAGTGAAATTACCGTATTTATTATAGAGATTTTTATCTATAACATTTAAGTTTAACTTCATAAAGAAAATCAACCATGGTAAATATTTTAAAAGTAAATAAAATGTATTTAGTATTTTCTTTAGACAATCCAAAATTAAAAGATATAATTAAATTAATTAAAAAATATTAAAAAAAATCCACTTAAAAATTAAAAAAAATGATGATGTGTTTTACAAAACATTATACTAATGTTATACAATTATTTTATGGGTTTGGGAACAGTTAGTTTTTATTAAGAAGCAAACTTCATATCCGCATTGGTTTTTTTGTCTGAAGAACTGCGGTTTCCTTAGAAATAATTTTTCGTGCGATTGAAACCAGTGGTCTGTATTGGAGGGGATTGATTGGTGCCAGATGAGCTTTCAAAGTGGTAGTTCGGGTCGCCTAGAGCAGATAAGCTGGATAGGGCATGAATGGTACCCGGCTTTTCAAATAATTGAGCCATTGGGATGGCGGGCCCATCGTTAGGACTTGAGGATGAGTTTGCCCCCTTACGATTGGCTTTGAGTCTTTCTAATCTAGAGAAGAAATTTGTATTAGTGATAAAAAAAAAAAACATATAATACGACATGAAGGATTTAATGATGACACTGAGGTCCTCAACTAAGATCCCATGCATATTGTCGTAATTTCGTAAACATAATAATAAAGTTGTACCTCACTTCAATCAAATGCTTGGCAATTGAAACAGAATCTTTGTTTCCTGTAATTGTTATGTGCCGATACCGATTTTCACCATTTTTTTGAGCTAAATTACGATTAGTTACATGAACGATAGCACCACTTATTTGTCTATATAAAATACATAAACATAATAAATATATATATATATATTTTTTAGATGAAACAATTGATTTAAAATGTTACCATTATTATGGTCAATATAATCTAGACTGTAAATCAAGATCTATTCATAAAAACTATTTATTCTAATATTGTAAGTATGAAGATTTTTTTTTTTTAAATTCAGTGTCCTCTAAAACAGATAAGCTTATAGTTTGATTTTCTAATTATAAACTTTAATGAATACCGAGTAAGAATGAGAATTTACTGAACAAATAATTTCATAATGGAAATTACAACTTAAGGAATGAAAATGTAAAAAAATTGACTCACTTTGAAAATGTGGTATAACTAGACTGATTTATTTTTTTTTTACTACAAAATAAAATATACAAAACAAAAATAAACAATTTAAGAAAAAAAAAATGTAAATCTTAATAAAAAACCTATCATAAACCTGTCAGTGAGTATTAAAAACATCAATTTTTACATACAATACAGTACTATGTTTGTTACAACTTACTGCATTTTTGTGATTTTACTTCCTTTCCTGCCAATAATACATCCGATTAAATCATTAGGTACAGTTATTGATATTGTCTCAGTGTTTGTTTGTACCCTCCCACCATTATAGTTTTGATGATTAGTTGTTCTCAACTGACTTCCAGCTAATGCATGCAAGGCTGAAAATATAATTTTGTATAAATTAAATTTATTCTTTAATAAAATATTAAACTAAGGTAAACTGATTTTTCGCATTGAAAAACCCTGTCTATTTAAACATTTATAATAAACATTAAAAACTCAAGTTCCCATAATATAGTATAATGCATAAGTTCAAACATACAAAAAGGATTTTCAAGTATGCAGCTATTCAAAATATGCAAATTGTGTTCACTACAAATTGATTAAGATAAAGCCTCACAGCCATAAATTGTTTGTGTTTTTACGAAAAGAGGAACAGTTGTAATAGAAATAGTGTAGTCATAGATATTTTCGTGGTGTTATAATATTTTTGATATCAATAATTTAAAAAAGAAAAAACCTGAGATTGCTCTACTGTAGGTTCTAGTTTACCTTGTCATTGAGTAGGTTACTGTAATGGATATGTCAAATTTGAGATCAATGATAAATAATTTCATATGAAAAACAATACAGAGAAAGGGCAGTATGTTATTTCTATTTCTAAGAGATTTATATAGTTTATATATATTTCTAATAGCAATGAGTATATTTTTATTCTATAGAGAAACAATGTTCAGTATTTTATGCTAAGCTATGTATTAGTTAATTGATACTGACAACAGTGCTAGCTCCCAGTCACTAACAATATTATTAATTTTTTTAATAAATGAAATTAAATGAAATTAATTTATCAAACGTATTTTAGTGTTTGGCATAATAATAATATTATTAAAATAATTCATTTTACTGCTGTATTGAGAATACTGCATTATAGGTAATTATTATATTGATTAACTTGACATTGGAAATTGTGCACAATAATTATTAAGAGGGTGTCAAATCCATATGTGTTGTTTAACAAATGTACAATATAGCAAAAAGTGTATGGTGCAGGTAAGAACCACTCAGGCTGTAGTCCAAGTTTAACTACAAAATGTTCGCATTAGAGAGAGGGGAACATCATAGATACAAAAAATGCTCTTATTGTTTAAAAATTCATTATTTTTGGGTTTTTCAAAATTAAATAACTTTTTTTAGTTCTGATTTAGAAAAAATAATAACAACATTGAACAGCAACTGTATTTTTCTTAATAGTGTAAATATTTTGTTCTTTAGCTTGGACTACAGCCTGAGTGGTTTCGACCAGCGAAAAAAGGTTATTTTCTACATTTGTAAGATTGAGACAAAACATATGCGACATTGCGTTTTCTCAATAGGTAGAATTACTACAATGCTTTCGCTTCTGTGATTCATTTTTCAATGCACCATGCGCCTACCTCCCTAGAAGCATAGGACATATTTTATACTACAATGTTTTTCTATATAATATATAGCCATTGGTAATTTGCTAAATTGAACACAGTCTTCCAAAAAAACCATTTAATAATCATTGTTTTAGTAATCATACAGTATATTATTGTTATTAACTTGTGTCAATACAAAGTAGTTTTTAAATAATAAAAAAAAGGTTTTAAGCTAATGTTTTTTTATCTTAGTAAGAATAACATCTGAGAAATCTTGTAATAAATGTTCAAGCCTCGAGGTGAATGATTAACATTTTTAACACAAAATAATTTGCAAATTTAAGTGATTTTGTCAGATAATTGTATATCATTTTTATCAGCTACCTCCCAAAGTAAAACTACACAAATCGTTTGAAATACCAATCAATACAAAACCAAGTTTTCTCATTACTATTCAACATTTCTAATCATTTTGGTACATACCAGCTACATTGATACTTCCAGTTGATATAGCTCCGAACCCATGAGCTGCAAATTTGGCTGAACTAATACCTTGACAGTATCTTCCAAACTAAAAAAAAATGTTAAAATAGCTAAGCAAAATGTACATTATTAATAGATCTTCATCGATAACATTGATTTTAAAATAAACAGATAAGCTATTGTATTGCTTATATTGGAAGGCTTATCTGTATATTTTTAAATCAATGATAGTAATAAGAAACTTACATCATTAAAAACTGCTTTACGAGCCAATCCTGCAGTCTTCTTAGGAGGTTCATAGGAGATTACAGAACATCTCGGGGACTGAAAATGTATAAATTATTTTGAATATTTAAATCAAATTAGAACATACAATAATTTCAGCAACTAAAATATACTAAAAATCAAATGAACTAATGTACCAAAAAAAAATATTATTTTACAGGTGGGCACCTGTATAATAATATAGTCTCAATAACTTGAATCTCAAAGAGAATAAAAATAAATTCAACTTATGTATTTTTCTAGTTATAAGCTCCAAACATAACTAATAAACACCTCAAGGCCTCAAGGGACAAGCAAATGAATAAAAGTTTGAGTTAAGAGTTATTCAAGTTATTGTGACTTATTAATTTGAAATATAACTATGCCTTTATATTTTTATATTTTTATTTTGTAGAAAAAAATATGTTAAACTGTCTAAAGACCAACATAACTTAATTCTAATTTGTCAAATAGGTAATTTATGACTAATTTATGGTAAAACTCTTTTGAGACACAACAATTTACTCTTCTTAATCGCCTAAATTCTAGAAATAACGCAGATTCAAAAATCAATAACATCTCAATCATTGTCTAATAAATTTAAATTCCTTAGTATTATTAATATCTAATATTCATAGAACATTTTAAATATTGTGTGTCCAGCAGAACGACATATTTACTATTTAATTTACCAAATACTTGAAATAAACATTCTATTTTTCCTTACATATAATAGGATGTTGCACACATTATAAATACATTGAGATACTTTGTCCGTAGTACCAGTAATTGAAACTAGACGTTCAGTTGAATTTGGTAACATGTTTGACGACACTTGTATATATGCTCCAGATGATTCTCTAATTTTTTTTATTTTATATCCTCTTTTGCCGATAATGAAACTACATTGATATGCTGGAACAATTAACTTAAAAGTCAAAGGTTGTTTGGGGCCATTCCCATTAAAATTTTCTCTCTCAAAAAACTAAAAAAAAGTCAGAATGTAATTTTCAAATTTATATTTTTACAAAAATACTTACTTCTTTTACTTTGAGTCCAATGAGTTCAGTAGCTTTACAAATTGCATGTGTAGTTCCAGTTATGATCGCAATACGTTCGAGATTCGTAACATGGGTGAATTCAACTCTAGCACCAGACTACGAAAAAAATTAAATTCTTTTGATAATATAAATATTGATAGGTTGAACAACTATTGAACTATTTACTTGGTCTCTTATAAACTTTATAGTTTCACCTCCTTTACCAATCACATTTCCAACTTCCTAAAATTGAAAAAAAATCTATTTTATCATAAAAATGAATATACTAGGTACGTGAAAATTCATAAAGTATAAAACAAAGTGCATATATTAGTTTACGATTACCTAGCTATATTTTAAAAGAGACTAACAGAAAGCTTATAATTATTACTACTTATTATTATTCTACTTTGGTGTAAATCAGAAACTTACTTTAGAATTGTACACATACATTAAAAAAAATATATACATATAAATATTTTTATATTTATTAATTTAATTGTGTCAATACAACAGGTGTTTTTACAATGTTATACATTTTTACAATAGATAAAAGCAACAAATGTATTTGTAGCGTGCTCTTAAATAACATAAGAATAAAATAATATACAGCATACTCGGCCATGAAATAGAATCCGTATAGTCAAATATACATTGTGACAAGGGGTCAATTCACTGAACCTAGATTTCTTGGAACTTCCCTGTACGTTTTTCATTTTCACCTAAACAGATATCGTCAAAAGTTTATTATGTAATATTTTATATTTACCTCATTCATTACAGAAAGTATAAGACACTGAACAGAGAGGTCAAGAAACTAAGACAGGTTAAGACAAGTATCAACTGACTGTATGACATACCCACCTACTACCTAGACAGTAATGCAGAATACGAATTAAGCAAACGACGAACTTACGATGGCCGCAAATTAAAGTTTGTTATCATTAACTAGTAATTACTTGAGTAAATTTCACGAGTAAAATAATTTGACATTTATGGTTTATGATAATAATAATCATGTAATATTATAAATTATAATATTGTGGTGCCCTATCCCACACTCGCGCGCTATGATGTATGTTTGTAACTATGTATCATTATGTATTATTTAATTATTGTCATATCATCATTTGTTATCAATGTACATTGTTACCAACCAATGTTCTCATTCTATGTTACTCGTTAGTCGTTTTGATTGTACTCGTGTTTACACTGTTAATTTTTTAACATAATTATTATCTAGTTATTGCCAGTGTTGGGAAATATCTAGATATATTTATCTAGTTAAGTTATCTAGATAAAAATTATTTATCTTTTATCTTATCTAGACAAATTTTAGCCAAGTTATATTTATCTTTATCTAGATAGAATTCTAGTTATCTATGAGTACATATCTAGATAATTTATTTGTGAACTTCCAAAAAAAATTGTTATGTTATTTTTATTTACGTAATTGTCTGTATACAGTATATCTATAACACGGGAAACAAACGTTTGGTAAAATGTATTATCATATCAGGTATTCCAATGAGAATGTTTATTATAAAACTGGAATTTCATATCGTAAATATTGAAACGTTCAAAAGTATAAAATTAAAAATATGTCATGTTACTTAGTAACTTGAGAGAGCAACTAATAATAGCAAAATCGAAAACATCTATCCCTGCTGCCCGTATGACGATGGTCGTCTTTATTAGCCGATACTCATTTCATAGAATTATGTATAAAATGTAAACAAATAATAATTATCAATAGGTACTCATTGTGTTGAGCCGATGAAAATAAAACAACATTCATGGACACACCACACACAAGCATAATATATTTATATATATTATATACTTATATATTTTATATTTATAATATCTACATAGTGATCATTACTCATTTGTCTTTAGTTTTAGTTATTAATATTATTCCCAGTATTCAGAACTCGCCGTTCTCAGTTATCACTTAACAACAAACTCAGTGACTTACTATCTTAATTCTTCGAATTAAAACTGTTGAAGAACTACGATTTTCTTGTTATTTTTATTTCGTTTATTTGTTTATTTCAATTATAAAACGGTTTGTACAAGTTCTAAATGCTGCCCCATCGAAAATCCAAAAAACAGACAATGATTCAAGTACGCAATCAACCGAAGAATCAACTAACCATCTAATAAATACTTCGAAATTGAAGTAAAACTATAAATTATGCAAATCTAATAAAAATATCTTTCCTAAGTTCAAACAAAAAAGACATACACTTTAAATCAATACCCTATTATTAAAGAGGTATTCCTAAAATATGATACTACTATTCCATCCTCAGTTTTGACACCCAGATGTAATAGGTCAAACAATAGAACCTTGGATATGATTTTATGTTGTAGATCAAATATGGCTTAAATCACTATTTTTTTTTTCAAATGTAATCTTATTTCTGTAATTATTTATCAAGTCAGAGAATGCCTCTTCATATATTTTTATGGAGTTTATTTAAAAAATAAACTGGGTGCACTGTTTTTTAAAATTTTAAAATTATGTAATTCTCTTTTTAATACCTGTACCACTGAATATTTGCAAGTTTAAACATGAAATTATCTGATATTTATCTAGACAAATATTTATTCATTTTTATCTTTATCTAGATAAAATTTAGTTATCTTTATCTTTATCTAGATAAAATTTAGTACTGTTATCTTTATCTTTATCTTTATCTAGATAAATTATTAGCTATCTATTCTCAACACTGGACTTATTGCCAACCAGGTATTGCGCAACATCCGTGCGTAGTTTTTGAATTGTATGTCCCTATTCGTGCCCTTTTTTCATGCTCAATTATTATTTATTAATAACTCGCCCTTATCGGCCGTCGCCGTCGCCTCCGACTTCGAGCCTCATCACTTTTCATGTTGTGCGTCGCCTCAACACATTTCCTACTACACCCGCGACTTACCCTCGAAAAATCACTCGGTAATCCTTGATTGGTTTTTAGCGTTAATAATAAAACTTAAAGTAAATTACTCTTAAAAGTGTCTTTACTTATTTTATATGGTCATAATTACGAAACGATAAAAAACAATATTTTTAACCTACCTTTAGCAATATAATATTTAATGTTTCTATTGACAGTCCTAAGTCTGTATTAAATGGGAAGGAAAATAATGTATTTACTATTTACATCGGACGTAATTAGTATAGTTGTTAAATATTATTGGGTCGCAATTCGTATGAAAAGGGGATCTTGGGACGCAATTCGTTTGCTGAGCCGAAAATACATCAATAAACCAACAATTGTCACAAAAATAATTTTACGGTATTTATTTAAAATCAAATATTTGATAATAATCTTTTATTTAAGAATAAAAAGTATAAATAGTAAAATAATATAAATAATATAATAATAATTGCAGAAAAATTAAATGCAGAACATTTTGTCCAATGAGCCGGGTTCGAACTTGTGACTGCGCGCGTCAATGCCAACTTTGTGACCTTTGCACCTCACTTCCAGAGTACCAGTGACTAGTTTGGAGTGTTTGGACAACACTTACTGAAAAGCGCCGCCGCCGTCTCATTTTATCTGGAAACGACTGTACCGACATAACGTTTTAACGTGGACCTCTACATTACAGATTTCGTAGAAGTATTTATTTCATGTGACTTATTTTTCTCAAATAAACCATATCCGGGTTATTCCCTGCATCAATTGTTATTTTTAAATTTGATAGGTACTAAATAACATTTATAACCAATAGTATTAATTCTGAAAAAGACTGTTAGTAAGACTCAAAACGTTTCTGAGATCAACTATGTCGGAGACCACATTAACTTGCTCTTTTGAATATCCACCGTGATATTGGTGTAGACATCATTTAAGTTATTGACATGTTTTCAAAAACAAAAACAAAATAAAATTTTGCTCTATAATTTCATATTTCATATTTTTTTATTTATCTTAAATAAAGAGAATTCTTTTCAATGTACATACCTAATTTTTTTTAAATGTATAGCTGAAAGTTTATTCTTTTACAGTGTTAAGAAATATTTTTGGTAATACTTATATTATTATAGAACTATTGAATTGTATATAGGTAGGTATTATATTCAGGGCTTGGAACCTTTATGATTTTTTCGGTTTCGGTTCCAATTCGGTTCTTCAAAAAATAAAAATTCGGTACCGGTTTCGGTTCCGGTTCTTAAAATTACAGAATTAAGGCTTCGGTTCTGGTACCGGTAAATACCGGTATTCAGAGGTATATTTTTTTTCAAAAAGCAAAAAAAAACCAATTATAAACTTCATTCATATACCCATAGGCGGAAATCGGGGGGATAAGGTCCCCAAACTTAGTCGCAGCCCCCCTCCCCCAAAAAAAACGTACGATATACAATTTTAAAATTCTATATTGCAATGGTCTGCTTTCCTTTAATATATTCAGTCCCCCAAGTCAAAAGTTGAAATTGCGCCTATGCATATACCTTTATAATTATCGAGATTTCGAGATAGAAGCAGTCTGTGCTCAACATTACACTATTACCACATTAATTGATTGGTTGTTACTTGTTTTTGTATGATAGGTATCATAGGTAGTAGGTACTATGATATGCTATTTTTAGTGGTGGACACTGCCAAATAACGACTATCGAATTTATTATTGTAAGAAACTATTCAGAAATTATATTTAATATGTATATGTATACCATTATATTATCAATTATTAGTCCTTGTCACAATCTGATAACAATTTATACGGGTGTGTAGGTTAGGTTTGATGGCGTTAATAATCATTTTATTAGACATCATTCATCAACTTACATTACAAGACATAACTATCCAAAACTATTTATAAATTATAAAATATAAGGAAATAATCATAACGACATGCTTTACAAATCAACAAGCAAATAACAATATTTATTATATTTATTTTGGTAAATGCTCATAGTTTATTGTTTCCTGGAACTGTTAGTTTATAGAAATGTACAATTATAATTACCCGTATTCATTTACAACCAAATTTTAAGAATCAACTATTATTTAATAATATGTATTACCTGCCTAAATATATTAAATAATTAAATAAAACTAGAACCGAAAAAAACCGAAATTAACCAAAAAATTCTCTTCAGATAAATATCGGTTCCAGTTCCTGTTTAGGTTCCTAGGAAAATCAAAAAATGGTTTTGGTAAGGTTCCGGTTTCAATATTTTCAATAGGTTCCGGTTAAAATACCGTTATTTTTAATTTCGGTTCCAAGCCCTGATTATATTATGTACCCAATATGAAATGTCGCCCCTAATATATATACTCTGGATCCTCGTTTTTATACAAATTACTTCCCGTCCGTATCGTAAATAAAAAGGTTAATATACGCAGTTGGTTCCAATGATCAGATAATTCATTATGAGTTGCCTCAAGTATAAAATTATGAAGTAAACTCATAAACTGCACTATAACCAAGTTGTGCACACATGGTATGTGTTATAAATTATAATAACTTATTATTATAACTTATAGTTATAAAAATTACGTTAACATAATAATTTATGTTTAATAAATTAATATACCTAATAGATATTTTATAATTATAGATGTATAGATAGCTTTTTATTTTATCTATGCTTTATTTTAAGTATAAGAAGAACTTCATACTAATATTATAAATATTTAAAATTAATAAAAAAAATGTTTTATTATCATTAAAAAAATATCAGTCTAACGTTATTATGTATCTATAATTCATTTGAGTACCTATAGAAGTATTATAAGAGTATATTATCTTAATATTTAGTCGTAAAGGTGTATTACCGAGTCAAATATCAATGCAAAAAGTCATAAATCGACATTAATATTATAAACTTATTTTGATACATGATAATATA